AACGCCCACGTCAAAACTTGTATTTTTCAATCAATTTCCACTTGGATTGATTTTTGAAGTGCAAGGCATTATCGGAGATGATCTTCGATGGAACCCCCTGACGATAAATTATATGGTTTTTAATAAAACTTTCAACATCCAGTGGGCTTACTTCTTTTAATGGTACAACTTCAACCCACTTGGAGAAATAATTAGTTTTCACCAAAATGTATTGATAAGAATATTAGGATGGGAGCTTAAAAGGGCCAATTAGATATAGACCTCAAGTCTTGAAAGGCCATGACAACATAGTTGGATGGAGTAATTGAAGGGGTTGATGTATAAAATCTCCATGCAATTGACAAACTTTACAATGTTTTTCAAATTTCATTGAATCTTGTACCATGGTTGGCCAGTAGTAGCCTAATCGCTTTAGTTGTGCAGCAAGTTTAGGTTCAGCTTGGTGCCCACCGCAAGTACAAGAATGTGTTTCATACAAAGCATTCACAACTTCTTCCTTTGGCAGACATCTAAGAAGAATTTCTTCAAAGGATCTCCTATATAAGGTATCATTTAGGTATGCAAAACGAAGGGCTCTTTGTCTTAAGTCAACCTTTTTCTTTGGGTCAGCTAGTAGTCTACCATGTAGGAAGTACTCAATGAAGGGATGTCACCGATCCAAATATTCTTCAATTTCACAAATTGTCACTGCAATGGTGTTTTCTGCTACTTCCATATGGTCAAGCGTTGGTAGGGTTAGCAGATGACGTTCCACAACTGTGACTTGGATGTCCTTTTGCTTAGGAAGAGTTAGAGATGCACATAAATTAGCCAATGCATCTATTTTGTCATTTTCTAACCTAGGCACATGATTGATCTAGATTTCTTGGAATTTAGACATTAAGTATTTACCCATTTGGTAGTAAAATACCAAATTTTCATTCTTCACTTCATACTAATCGTTTAATTGTTTGACAACTAATTGGGAATCGCCAAACACTTGAAAACAATCAATATACATTTCAAGTGTAATTTCTAGGCTAATGATCAATGCTTCATACTTAGCTGCATTATTTGAGCATAATACTAATTGTGAGAATGAAGATGGAATTAATCCTCCAGAAGGTGTCACCAACACAATACCTGCCCCTGGACCTCATTTCCTTGATACCCCATCAAAATAATACTACCATGATGATGTTTCGATGGACAAGACTTCATCGTTAGGAAAATCATTAGGTAACTATATGTTGTCAAGAATAGGATGAGCTACTAGGAAATCTACAAGAGCTTGTCCTTTTATTGCCTTTTAAGGTACAAATGTAATTTCAAACTCTCTTAACAGTACAGACCAATGGGTAACTCTTCTTGACAAGGATGGTTTGGAAATCAAGTATTTTAAAGGATCAACCTTTGATATCAGCTTTATGTGAGAGGCATGTATGTAATGCCGTAATTTTTGTACTGAAAAGATTAATGCTAGACACAATTTCTCAATATGGGAATAGTTGTGTTCTTCCCCCACAAGTGTCCTACTGAGGTAGTATAAGATATTTTCTTTTCCATCATTATTGCTTTTGATCTAGCATTGCCCCTAGAGAGCGCTTGAGTGCCGCAATATATAAAATTATGGGTTTTCTTTTTATAGGAGTCATTAACACATGAGGTTTTGATAAATACCACTTAACACTTTCAAAAGCATTTTGGCATACTTGATCCCATACAAAAGGCACATCTTTTTTCAATACCTCAGTGCCTGGCGGCAAAACAAGGAACTTTCCAAAAATTTCCCCTAACACACATTTTAAGGGGTTCATTTTGAGTTGATTCGTTTTTAGTCTATCAAAGACTTTTTTGAGTTCACTCAAATGGTGCTACCTTTTATTAGCTTTAACAACCAAACCATCCACATAACATTCAACTACATTGGAGAGAAAATCATTGAAAATTATTGTCATGGCTCTTCGATAAGTAGAATCTGCATTTTTCAATCCGAATGGCATTACTATGTAATCATAAATTTCTTTCGAGGTATGGAATGCAATGAGTTCCTCACCTTAAGGCGCATTTTTATTTGATTCTAACTTGAGAAGTCATCCGTAAAAGATAAAGCGCCAAACCTCGTTGTTGCATCCACCAGTAGTTTGGTTATTAGAAGTAGGAATTCATCTTTAGAACATGCATCATTTAGATCCCTGAAATCTATACAAATGCACACTAGTCCATTTTTTCTTAATAAGCACAATATTTGAGAGCCAAGTGGGATACTGAAATTGCTGAATAAAATCAGCACTTATCAGCTTAATCACTTCAACTTCGATTTGCACAATTAGCTCTGGCTAAAAACAACGTTGACCTTGCTTTACAAGTCATTTATTGTCCGATACAACTAGTCGATGTACTAAAATTTTGGATCTAGTATTAGCATGTCTTGATAAGCAAAGACGTCTCAATATTCCCGAAGAAGGTGCTCATACTCATTTAATTCTTCTTGAGAGAGTTGAGCACTGACAAAGATGGGCTTAGGATCATCGATTGTATCAAGATTTTTTTCTCGGAGCTCATCAACAGTGACCTATCCTCATTCTTCAATTTGAGTAGGTGCTAGTTGATTATTATTTATGAACTTTGAGTCATCTTCTAGTATGGAATTGTATTCCACTTTCATATCCAAGGAATCTTATGTTTGATTTTCTTCAAAGGAAGCAAAATTGACTTGTGAAATCCCTTCTAGATTTTCTTCTTTTTAACTTCCTCAACATTTTTCAAGATTATTCTCCTTTAAATTTTTTGCTTCAGCTTCCATTTCTTATTGGAATTGGACTTCTAGAATGTAGGATTTGAATAACCTCCAAGCCATTGAAAAACTGAAACTTGATACTTTTCGCCACCCTCCTCTTCAATGAACATAGCTTGTTCTTTAGTAATGAAAACTATTGTCTCAGAAAAGAAAGTCTTGGGGATATCATTTTTCTAGTGAGGTATGACTTTCTTTATCCCCTTTTTAAATAAAACTTTGCTCTTTTGGGGTCCCAAATTCTATGGAGATGATGATGAAGGAAAATCCGGCGTTATCTCTTTAAAGAAAACAAATCTCTTCATCTTATTTTCATCCTCTCCAAATGTGGTTGAGACTACAATATCTTCAGGGATTGATTGATTTATCCTTTGAAGAGGGCATGTGTAACTTATAGTAACGGATGTCATTGTATCTCGAACTGGAGTCAAAACTTCTTCTTTTAATTTTTCTTGCTCGTTGGATACATATTCAATACCAATCTTTCCTTCGGTGCCATTGACACTTGACCTTTTTGGACCCTTTTAGGAGTTGTCTCAGACAACTTTTGAATTTTTTGATGACTGAGAAGTTGATGGTTTGGAGCTACTCTCATGCCTTGTTATAGCTTCTTTATCTTTTTGACTACCGGCAGAAAAATACGAATTTGTCATTTTATAGAACTTGGTGTCAACATAGTTCACTTCTTCACTACCAAATGGATTCAGGTTTGCCACCGTAATCTTTTCCTCCCCATCTTTAAAAAACTTGAAAACTTGGTGGAGTGTGGAGGGAATGACACTTGCAACCATGGACGTCCTCACAAGGGATTGTATGTCATATTAGCATGTATGACATGGAAGATGACCTCCATGTGAAAATCATTGATTTCAATCTTCACTTCGATAGTGCCTAGGGCTCTCTAGCCTACTTGATTAAAGCATTGAATCGTTAGCATGGTCGGTGACAAATGTTTTGCTGACATACCCATGGCATGAAATGTCTTTAGAGGAATTAGATTTATAGGTGAATCACAGTTAACCATAATTCGATTCACTTGATTGTCTCCAATTATGCCAATGACATAAAGAGGACAGTTGTGATAATCCACCCTTAGCTGATAATCATCATCGGTGAAGGTAATGTAGGTCATATATGAAGAATATACCTTCAATGAGTGTTGAGCATCTATTTGTTCAACATAATCAACATAGCCATCGGAACTTGTCAATGCTTGAATCAACGCCTTTCTAAGTTCTCAAGACAACTTTGGAGCAACATAAACACTTAAATGTGTTGGTGCCCCTTGGTTCCCTCTAGTCTTATTAGCTTCCCCATTTTCAAATGCTTCTTTTGTTGCTCTACATAGAGGACTCAAAGATGAGGGTTCTACTGCCTTTTTATTTGGTCGAGATTTTGGAGGTAATGAAAGGCGTCGACCAGAACGTAAGGTAATCTTATCGACCTCGAGGTCAAATATATCACCTTCTTCGCATATGGTCATACAACGTTGCATCACCCTTTCTTCTTCAACACCTTTATCTTTGAAGAATTCCAGGGGTAAATACTCCTCAAGAGTAATTGGTATTCTCTTAGGCTAGATGTACTCATCCTCCGAATGGACTTGAGTTTTCTTTTGAGTCTTCTTTTTCTTTTTATTGATTTTCTTCTCCATCTTTTTCCTTTGAAACTTTATATCAGGGCGTCTTGGAGGCTTGACACTGGGGGATAGAGTATTTGTCGTTTTTTAGTCCTTTGTTGACATATGTTTGCACTCAACTCCACTTTCATCTCCTGAATCACAAAAATTGCTCCAATAATCCAAATTTGGTTTTTTCATAAGCTCATAAACAATTGGAATTGTTGGCTTTTTGAACGAGGTATGTCCAGGTAAGCATGCTAATAGGTAACCTCACCATCGACAACAAAAGAAATTAGGATTGCCCCCTTTGGTAGCAAGATATTGTGGATGGACTTGTTTTTTACTAGGGAGATATTATTTGAAGTTTTAGCAACAGAGGACTCTTGTATTTCAATGTCTCCCTTATTCACCATTGCTTGAATGATATTCTTGAGAACGTAACAATCCTTCTAAGAACTACCAATTAAATGGTACCGAAAAAATTTTGGATCATCGGTCTTGTTAACCTCGGATGGTCGCTTAGGCTCCAATAATTCTATTGCCTTAGCCTTTAGCCATGAGTTTGAAAATTTCTTCCACATCATCTTTGAAAATGTAGTTCACTTCTTTTCTTTCTTTTAAAGAGGGATTTCTGAAAGTTTCTTTCCCATTTTTAGGGACTTCCTTTCCTGTTCCATTTTCTTTCTTCTTATTGACATTAACAAATGTAGGCATGGCCTCACCTTTCTTTGTTGGCTTCTTACTATCGAACTTCTTCTCTTCAGTCATTCGGGACTTTTGAGAAAAAACTCTTCAATACTTTTTGTTGTATGATTGAGAAGCTCTCTCTTATGTGTTTTAACACCTATTAGCTAGTGATTCTGTTCCAGTTTTGTTGGTATTTTTTGGTGGTTCTCAAAATTAACCATGACAATATTCTAGTGACTGAGTTCAATTATGTGGATTTCAAATTGTTGTTTTCAGCCGATTGCTATGGTGTCTTAACTTGTTTATGGTCATTGACGGATATAATAAGACTAAACATTGCGTAATATTTGTCAAATGTGCAATCTTTCCATGCTCATTCTATAACCACGTTTGTGAGAATCAGCTAGCAGGTGATTTTTTTGATTCGAAGTTTGTTATATGGCTTTCCTTGTATATTTCAAGGTTTTATGGCAGATAATATTGCACGCAACCTCTTTGTATTGAATGGGGATTGTTAAGATGCACATGAATTATGCATACCATACTTCACTATCCTTGAAAGAACTAATGTAGCATACCTCTTTGTATTGAACGGCCATACCTTCACATGTAAAACAATTATATAGTCTCTACGATGTTTGATGAAAGGTCCTTGGTCCTAAAGTTATTGTTGGAGCAGATTTTTTTATTGCGTGCACTTGAACTGTGCACAGAATGTGTGCATCAAATTATTGTTGGTCATTGGATGATAAAAAGTCATATTTATTCAAAAATATATATGGGAGTCCCACTAAGCCGACGGGTAGCAATGATTTGGGGGCACACTTTTAGTGCAAAAATATTGTCTGACAAAAGTCATATTTATTCAAAAAAATATTATGTACAGTATCATCCTCCCCTCTTACTGCACTTATTTATACAATGTAAAGTTTTTATACATAAAAATCTGATAGAATACACATATACTGACCAAACTAACATACACAAATAATTCAAACTGAGGTATAAAATTAAAATCCGTGTGATGAAACCAAAAGTGCGGTGAATCAGATGTTCATAGTACTTCTCATCTTACTTCCACAAGGCCATAGCCATAGAGATCAGTGTGATGCTTATCCATTGGAATCTTCCTGGGAGAAAAGAGGTGGCTGCAAAACATGAAAGCATTGAGATGAAATTTAACTGTGATATTTACGATAAAACCCATTATACTATCCAGTTTAACGGGCACCCTTTAGTTTTTCCCTCAATACTAATGACCAAACATGATAACTAAATAATTTAATCAAAGTAAACAGCAAAAATGACAGGTGTATAGTTGTGTATGCACGTGAATAATTTTATACAAAAAGTAATAAAACATATTAGGTATATGTATATCTAAATTAAATATCATTTCAAATTTTGTAAACTTAAATTTTCATTTCTCGTATTCTATTGTAGGATTATGAAAAATTTGTATGGTCCCAAAAATCTTTTGTTCTAACTATAAGGAAAAAGATTTGAAAAATATTTAAAGTTCTATTTTTTTAGAATTTTTTGATTGAGATTTATTTTTAGTGATCTAAAATATCTATTTTCACATAAAATTTTAATGCACTTTAGAAGGTTTATTATGACTGAGAATTATATTGATGTGATATAAACTAATTTTAAAAAATTGTAAATACGATTATTTTTTATCTTAAAAAATAAAGGGTTAAACTTTTCAATAAAACAGAAAATACACAAATGTAGGCATAATATTATTTTTGCATATGAGATAAGTAATATCAGATTGATAGAGTTATTGAAGGCTTTTTGAATATTTTATTGAAAATATAATGATGCATTTTGAAACTTACTGTAATTAGGAATTAGCTAGCTGAATTCAGATAAGATTTAATATACTACTTTATAATATATATATATTATCAAGCATATTAAATTTCTAAAAGAAATTTAATATTACTTTAAAATACACTATAATATCTATTTTCACATAAAATCTTAATACAATTTAAAAAGTTTATTGTGGCTGAAGAATTGTATAGATTTTACATAAATTGATTTAAAAAAACTATGTATGTGATAATTTTTTATTTTACAAATGAAAGGAGTAAACTTTTCGATGAAAGAGAAAATGCACATAGGTTGATATAATGTTATTTTTGCATATGAGGTTTAAATACATAAGGATATAATGATAATTTAGATATTTAATTGTAAAAGGATAGAGTGGTCTTTGTAATTTTTTATAAGGGTAAAATAGAAATTCAAAAATTTTTCATGTTAAGGTACTTTTATTAATAGTATAAATATAAGTATAAATAGATAGATAGATAGATAGATATAGATATATGTTTTTAATTTTCATGAAATCAATATCCCCTTTATTATTATTTTTTTAGATTTATAGCTGCTAATAAAAACAAAAATTGTTCTAAGAGTGTAATAAAACCCAAAAAAAATAAAAAATAAAAATTGGAGGGCATTTGTCTTTCAATTCTAAACCGTCACATTCCTAATGAAATTACACTCAAGTTCATGTAGAGTTATATATTTATTGTTCTAAAAAACATGTTTTATCTTAGAAAATATCTTTGTTTAGTGGGTCTCGAAAAATAAATAAAACCTGCTACGATGCTTCATTTGTATTGGTTATAACTTATCACTTTCATCTATCAATTTTAAATTTTTTTCAATAACTTCTTTCATAACATTGATAGAAAATACAATGTGCACACCACGAAAAAATAACACACTGCTTTTCTCATCCAAAACTTACTTCTAGCAATTGAAGCATAAAATCGACAAAATTTTAAGATGATGTCCTAAAGTGAAGATCGATGAATTTGATAATATGAAGTGTTACCATATTTTTTGTGTATATATTTTATTTCTTTTGGGAGGAGAGTTCTAGAAGATGTCAATGTTTGACCAATTAAACCCATATTGCTGATATGATTTTGTTGGCAACATATGTGCATTTGGCATGAAATAAATGTTTCTCACCTTGACTATTCCCATCTGAAGGTGAGGGTGATGATGACTTAGATACCTCGATTCCAAGCCTTGCGCAATCAGATCCAATTGCACCTGAAGCAAACCAAATGTTAGAACACAGATCACTGAGAAATCTCTGCACACTTTAAATTTATTATATTTCACATCCTCTAGAGTTTACATTGCTTCCTACTATAGTTAGTAAAATTCCAGTTAGATCAGTTTCGTCTTCTAAAGTTCGCCATACAACATGAATAATACCAAAAATGGCACGTGTATATTATGTGAAGCGTACATAAGTTCGTAGAAAAATAACATATGAATACCACGTAATTCAGATTTCCTCAGTTATAGTTTTGTTCAATTTCATGTAATGACAAATCATCCATCATTTAAGGGTGAGAGACTCCCTTATAAATAGTGGGTCCCATCCGAATTCATGATTATTGATCTATTATTGAGTGAGATCGACGAAAATTATAATGAGGGATAACTCGATTCTACATCAATTGACTAATCAATATAAACCCTATAGGTAAAAAGTGCAATATTAGTCATAAATTTATTCAGCCATGTAGGTCTTACATTCACTGTAGCAAGGGTAGAAACTGATATTCATAAGATTTTGATAACCCGGGTTGCATTGGCATGTATGTGTATATGTTGCATTCTTTGTGCATGAACCTTCTCCACAATAGATCCAGTTGCAAGCTGTACAATAACCAATATATAAGAAATCTATTTTATCACAAATATTTTGGGATATATATGTATGTATATGTAGCTGATGGATGTTGATTACAATCGAAGAATGATGAGTTGGATGGAACGGAGGGCGCTGGAGGGGCAGCTGGCATGCAGGAGTAGTCAAGACTACCTGCAAAAATGACAAAACAACAACAGGTTAATAGCTACTCTAAATTGATGAGTACTAAAATTCAATTAAAGGACAAAACATATAATGAGTAACTTCACAGAATTTCGCTAAAAAATAAAATTTATTAAAGGATCGTTCACTTGATAATCAAGAATGTTAGAAGGGTTAAACTTTAGTTCAACTTTTTTCCGCAACAAAATAAACTTGCAAAAGTAAGACTGCAATGAATGAAATCAGACAATGTCAAAATTTGAAATTTAAAAGATCAAAAACATGGTACACAAATGAATGAAAGAAAATTGGAGAAAAAGAGAACGGATCGTACAGTTTGGAACTATGCAAGGTAGAAACTGAAGATTTTCTTCGTTGTCAAGACGGGTTCGCTTCCAGCCAGCGTCGCATTCACATACGAAGTTAAAGGGAGACCCAATTGCTGTCTTGCAAGTTCCTTTCCCACACTCCACTTCATTGCATAGTCTGTCTGTCAATCAACACAACACTTCTCAATATCTAAATTTGTGTGTGTGCGTTTGTGTGTGTGTGTGTGTGAGTGAGAGAGAGAGAGAGACCACCGATAGGGGAGGGAGCAGGAGATATATGATCATCTGCTTTTGCAATAACAGCTAGCAGAACTAGAATTACAGTGAAAGAAGCCATAAAATTAGAGGAAGCCATTGCTTCAACCACTAGTAACTAATAAGAGGATGAGAGGGATGGTGAAGATGAAGTAACTTACACAATGGGGATATATATATATATATATGTATACAAGCATCAAAAGCTTGAACTTTTCTTCATCCATTAGAAGCTTTTACAAATATGAGAAAAAATACATTTTAAAGCTTTACAATTGCTGGCCGTATTACGTGGAAAATTACTAGTCAATTAACTATGTATAGTTTCTTTGTGTGTGTTTGAACCTTTCATCTTCCTGACCAAAACGAAAAACTTTCATCTCTCATTCTGGTTTGTTTTGAAAACTCCACAATAACAGAAAAACAAATGAGCAATATTATTTACATCTAATTTATCAAACTTAATTTACTAACCTAAGCACTTCATGCCCTCAGATGACCATGGGTCTTTTTGTTTTGTGAGACTCGTTACCAATTTCATAGTTTTGTGATGAATTAGGTCAATATATTATGTTGACAAATTAGATCTAAATAATATTACTAATTACAAATAGGATAAATTAAATCAAAATCACTTAACGTTT